CCCTCCGCCTGCTCCAGCCTGCCCCGGGCCCTGCCATGGGTGCGCAGTGACTGGCCAGGTGGGGGAGGAACAGCTGGCAGGCAGCCACCCTGGCTATGTGAGGACACTGGCCATCCAGGCCAGGTGCTCCAGGGTCAGCAGGGGCCTCCCTGCGCCTCCGAGACCCCCAGGCCCCTGGGCATGTGTGACGTAGCGGGGGGTAACCTGCTAACTCTCTGGCTGCTGTCTGTAGCACCACCGAGCAGACAAGCGGTGAGTCACTATGCAAAGGGGATCCCGACTGGTTTGGCCAGCTGACCCCCATGGAGAGGAACAAAGGAAGGTGGATGCTGCCCTGGCTGGGGGGCAGGGCTGGAAGAGGGGAGTTAGTTCCTGGCTGGAAAGCAGGGTAGAAGGAACTGGGGAGGGGGCGGGGATCCCCCCATCTCAAAGGGGGCACTGAGGCCTCTTAGCCCCAGTTCCTGTAACCAGATTCCATCTGTGCTCTGCTGTATCCTGGAGGAGCAATAAACAACCTCCATTCTACTGGCTGGTGGAGTCTGTTTGTGCCATTTCGGGGTGCAGGAGACGGGGGATCCCCAACGCGCCGTCACAGCATGGTGATGCCCGACCCCCCCAGAGCCCCACAGCCTGGGGCTGCCCCGTCGCAGGAAGCGGAGGGGCTGAGTCCAGTGCAGCTCCCGCAGCTCGCTGGGGGTCGGTGCCCAGGCCCCGGCTAGCCCGGCCCCCGACACAGCCTGAATCCGTGTTTCTGTTGGCCCCTCCCTCTTCCAGCCAGCCCCTGCCAGCCCGAACACTCGCCTCCCCCCCCCGGCCACCAGCCCCCGCAGCACTCTTCCCCCAGAGCCCGGCCACACAGGGATCCCAGGCACAGCCACTAGTGGGGCGGGGGCTTTGCAGCTTCCCGCGTTACAGCGTCTCGCTAGCGGACGTGCTGACCCCTCCTCCACTCACTGCCCGAGCCCCTTAGCGCCTCAGTGTTCCCATCTGTGAAATGGGGCAATGGCTCCCTCCCAGGTGAGGCCGAAGGCGGGAACAGGACTCCGGGCTCCTGTCCCTGGAGCTGCCCCAGCCTCGCCGGAGGGAGCAGCCGCCCAGGTTCCGCAGTGCATCCAGGCTGGGCTGCGCCTCCCGCAGGTTTATAAACCCCAGACCGGAGCCGCAGGTTTTACCTCGGATGCCTTTGAAGACGTGGAGACAGCACCTGGCCCAGGGTCTCTTGGTCCCGCCCTCAGCCTCTCGCCTCTCCCGCGGGTAGGGAAGGGGGTCCCCCGGCAGCTCCACGCTCTCGTAGGGGTTCTCCACAATGGCCTTGGGGTTGTAGATGGCTCGGATCTTCAGGGAGGCGGCGGGGGAGCCGGTGTAGCCAGGGTTGTCCCAGGCTCTCTTCCCCAGGGCGTCCAGCTCGTGCTCCTCCTGGGCTCGGAAGTGGCTCTCGGCGCGGTTGTTCAGCCGGGAGGAGCTCATGGCGTCTCCCCGGGGAGCGCTGGGCTCTCAGTGCGTCGGCTGGGGGCTGTGGGAGGCAGGGAGCCGTGTGCCAGGGGCTGAGACGGATGCACGCAGGCTCTCTCTCCCTCCCTTTTATACTCGCGGCCGGTGGCCTGGCTCCGAGGGCGGCGCAGCCCGGGGGGAGCGGCTGCAGGGCTACTC